TTCCTCCTCTGTAATATGTAGCACAATGTGCTGCATAGATAGGAACTTATAAATTCTTACTGAATTTGAATGAGTGAATTCAAGGTGCCTTCTATTTCCTAACTGTTTATTGATAATGTCATTTAGAAATTTTCTCCCAAAGTTCACTGCTGGATCACGTTCTTTTCCTATTAGGGTAGCTTAGGCAAACCAAAAAAGGCAAATAAAGTAAAAGCTCAATACAAGAGAAGTTTATTTATTTTTGCGTTATGTAACAGTCCGAGTAGATATTAGGAGAGGGCACAGTTCCCCCACCTGAGATCTGTCCATCTTCAGCTCGTGCCTTCAACAGATTTCTGGTCATCACCTACTTCCATGTCTGAACAGATAATGTACTGAGGTACAGAATATTAAGGCCTGCTTCGGGTCATATAAATTCATTTGAGTCAAGGTATGCACCCATTCCCTAGAGAAAAGCCGGTCACTTCTTGAGGGAATGGGAATTGATTTAGCTCTGAGCTATATGCATGGGAATGTTTAGCCTAGACTGCCTGGAATTGTTTATCCTACGCTGCCTGGGAGTGCTCATCCAAGACTCATGCCCAGGTTGTTATTAGAAAACAGTCAACCTGCAGGCCCTGGTTCCTGGCCAGATCTGGGACCGTATGTGACAGAAGCATACGCCGTTTTGCACTGCAGCCTTCTTTGTTTAGACCACTATATAAACAGAAAAGAAAGTCTCTGAGCTGCTTCTCTGCTGCCACCTTCTTCCTATTAACATTCTCGACGTGCAGCTGCCTGCCTGCTTGATATCCCAGTGTGTTGTTGCCTTCGCCACTGCCTGAGACTTGCCCGTTGATGGCTAAACTCTGGTGCTGGTGCTGTGACTTCCCCGTGATGGTTAATTCCAGTGCTGATTAAATAAGGGATCCTAGTGTATGATTACTCCTTTAGGTTCTTCTTCCTTGCTGTGCTATGTAAATACAGTTTCTTTATTTCCCTTTTCTCTTCACCCGTTAATAAATATAAATATAACTAAAACTGCTGTGTTGTGGTGGTGGGTCCTGTGGATCGAGTTGAATGCAAAAGTCTGTGTCACAGCGATGTAAAATTAATTATCAATACAGTAAGCATAGAAGAGCACCTGTTAGAGGTTTTTATGGCCAGTCTGGAAACCTGTGTACACCTTTCTGCTTTTTCATTGGGGAGGAGCATAGTACACATGGCCACATATACTTTAAGGTAAGCTGAGGAGTGTAGTATAGGGTATGGCCAAGAGGAGAATAATAATTTTGGTGGACAACTAACCTCTTCACCAATATTCAATTACTTACTTGGACTTTATCCTCTGGTATGTCTCAAATTAATCTAGAGAGAAAAGAACTCTGTGATCTCCCACCCTCACCCCAATCAAGTCCTTTCATTCACTGATATGCACATCATCCATCCAACTCTTAAGCAAACACATTCAAAGATTATCTTTGATCCATTTCTTATTCCACATTCCACCATCAATCCTTCGGAAGTTCGTCAATGCTACTTCCCAAAAACATGTGCTTCAAACCATCTTCTCTTTCCATCTTTGCTGCCACCTCCTTAGTTCAAACATCACAATAATCTCTACCTGGATTATTTCCAATAAGCCTCCTAATAGGCTCTGTTTCCAATCTTGCTTGCCTACATTCCATTCTCTTATATGGCAAGAGTGATCTTCTAAAACATAATTTTGATCACATTGCTCTTTAGGGTTAAAACTTTTCAATAGCTTAGAAAAAACCAAAGCACTTACTATGACCCCCAACAATTCCATATTATAATGCCACCCGTCCACCTCTCCAACCTCATCCTTTATTCACTCTCCTACTCACTCTACTACAGCACGATGATCTTCTTGCTGATTCTTCAACACACTTAGCTTATTTTCACCTTTTGAAATTTGCACTTGCTGTTCCATCTGCCCATAAAATTCTTCCTTGGATTTCCAATAGCCAGCTCTCTTCTCAAATTCCTCAGATCTCAGCTTAAATGTTATTCCTGAGATACCCCTCTGACATCTGGTACGAAGGCAGTCCTCAAATCCCAGTTTATTTTCTTCACCTCAGCATCCTGTTTATTTTTTCTCTTGCATTCATACACTGCATTTTGTCCTGCTTATTATCAGCTTCAATTTCCTGAAAGATCCATTGAGCAGGTACCGCGTCTTGTCCTACTGTTTTCCCAGGCATCTAGTAGGTCTGCACATGGTAAGTGTGCAGTAAATAATGTGAAAGAAGAACCATCAAAAGGTGATTAACCAAAGTCTGTAAGTCCTTTGATATGTAATGGCGTAGTGTAAGAAGCCCAAACCTGGCTTCCAATTTTAGCTTTACTTACTACTTAGCTGTGCGCAAAGCGAGTTCAGCATCTTGAGCTCATTACCTGATCTGTATATAGGGAATAAGTACATACTTACCTTAGAACGTTAAATCCCTACCTTCTAAAGATGAAAGGAGGTACATGAGGAAAAGAGCTTCGTGTAAGGTTTACACGCCATAGAGTTGTTATCGATATGTTATATATTACACACAATTCTGTTTCCTTATGGCAGGAACCGCCTCAGTGCCATCAGTTCCCTCTTCTCTACCCAGGGTCGGTCATCCACAAGTACAGCACTGCACAGGTAAAGCATGAGGCTCCCACGCACGCGCAGCCTACGTGTCCACTGGCGACGCCAATGGCCCTGCCCGTCTGAGCCCGACCCCATGCGTCATAGTGCAGCGCGGGGTAGCAGAAGGCCCGGGGCTGTCTGTCGCAGCGCGCCTTGGGGAGGCCCAGCGGGCGCCTGCAAGTCGGTCCGCAGCTTCGGCCCCGCCCCCCTCCCCCCCCCAGCTCAGAAACCCCAGCGGAAGCCCGCGAGGGGCGTGTGCCCAGCGTGATGTCAAGGGCCCGGGCGGCAGGAGGGCGCCGGAGCGCCCAGCGGGGCAAGCGCAGGCAGGCGGCGCGGCGGGCTGCCCGCGCAGGGTGTTCCGGCGATGTGTGGCGCTGAAGCGGCGGCGCGGGAAGCAGCGGCGGCGGCGGCGGCGCAGCTCGGCTTCGCGGGGTGCCGCGGCGGAGCGGAGGCGCAGGCTCTTCCTGGGGTCCTGGCGAAGCCGAGCCTATAAGCGGCGCCCTGCAATGTCCCTGCCAGCGCCCGATCCGGGGGGGGGCCCTCCGTCCGGCCTGCCCGGAGCTTTCCTCCCCGGTCCGG